TTAAATGCTTGATAAAAATAGCAAATCATTAATTAGGGTTGACTATTCTACATACTACATTTAGTAAATAGTATAACTTTTAATATAAGTATAGATTCTGTCATGGTTTTAACATGAAGAAATCTCAAAATAAAATGAGATAATTTTTAACATAATATAGTTTTTTTTTTCAACGACATAATTTTATAGAAAAAGCATATATTTACACACAGATACAAACGGTAACCGTCGGAATAAGCAGTTACACAACTGAATCCATGGGAGGACAACCCGAAAGACAACCTAATCGAAACACGCACAACGCACTAACAAGCTCCCAACAAGAGAATTAAGTTCCCAAAAGGAGAATAAACACTACACACAACACACTAAACACGAAATAACTAACACACGCAAACTAAACACAACAAAAAACAAACAAAAGACGGACAAAGCCCTTTCCTAGCAGAATAACCAAGTCCCGCACAGGCACCAACAGAAAAAAAAAAAAAGCTACCATCCTACAGCTAGATTCGCGGACCAAAACCCCCACTCCGGAACAGCCAACAGGTCTAGCTGAAGCCGAATCCCGAGCCACACGAACCACCACGATAATGTCACCGACCCAAAGCCGGACAAAGCATTGGCCAGACCCCACCACACAACCCAACACCCCGAACCCGAAGAAGGGCTTCGCACGTAATATACATGAATACTTGTGATTTTTATTTCTAGAAGGTCACAAGGAAAAAAAAATTGGTTAATAAATTAAACTGGACCGTTGAGAACTGTTCGAAAGGTATTTGTCGATTGTGACTTCTGAGTTCTACCGACAAACACTCTTCGAATAGTTTTCAATCGTCCAAAGCTCTTCTGTTACATGATTCACATCATATATTCATATTTTTCTTCTAATTAACTATAATTATTTTACTTATTTTTTTTTTATTGAATCACTTTTAATTATAATATTTAACTCCTACAATTATTCCTTTTTCGATTTTTTTTTTTTTCAAATGAATGCAATCATGTCACATTATAAAAAAGATTATTATTATTATTATTTAATTTTTATTTTTCAAATGAAAACGTATTCAATCCCCTTAAACAGTATCGCACCCGACAAATGGTGTCACACTTTTTTATTATATCCATATAATAAATTTATATATATTTATATCCATAAAATAAATTTATGAACCTTTTTTCTCCCTACTTTATTCCTCCACAAGATTCACCGTTTGACCGGCGGTCGCCGGTCCTTGAGACAAAGATGCGGCCACATAAGTCCCTGTTTGGGTAAACGAGTGTTGAGAGCATAATGAAGTTGGAATTTTAAAGCTGAATGTGAATATGCAATGCCTAAAATGAACAAAGAAATCAGACAACCAAACAGTACTTTATCGCCATCATCATCTCAACACCACAAAAGGCTATCTTTTGATTTCAATGTTCATGGCTTTTGTGTGACCATCACGGTGAAAAATATCCATTATTATTATTATTATTATTATTATTATTATTATTATTATTATTATTATTATTATTATTATTATTATTATTATTATTATTATTATTATTATTAATTTATTTGTGTGTTTTTTCATTTGGTTTGGTGAACAAATTAAGGGTGACAATTCAAGTCAATTTTTTGAATTTACATGTCTTAATATTTAATCACATTACAACAAATTGCAAATTTTCGTGTCGTATTCTAGTTTCGTGCCTCAAAATTACAACCTCTATTTTCTTGTTACTTCAATTGGCTGTCTTTATAGGGGTAAACAAAATTGAGCTAACATAAATGAAATAAATAAATGAGCTGGATCATTTGATTCGGTGTGGTTTGGTGCATTGTCTGATGCTTAGAAACACCGAGCCAATCGGTTCGACTCGATTCAATTAGTTTAGTGTAGAATTTTTTTTTATCCAGTTTCGATTAGACAGTTTTATTATTACAGTGTTGTGCAGTTCAGAATGAAAATTTTATAATTTCGAGTTTTTGATTTCCTACATTAGGTGCAGGTTTGTGCTCAAGTACATTTGATTATCGTGCCTTCAATTGATTGAGTCTTCATTAGAGGTGAACAAAAGCGAGATAGAACCGATAAATTGAGATAAACTGTTCAATTCGGTGTGATTCGGTGCATTGCCTAATGCTCAGAAAATAAAAACAAGTCGAGTCGAATTCGATTCGGTGCATTGCCTAACGTTCAGTTTTTTAGGTTGAAAATCAATAATCACCGTGTCAAAGAATGAAAGAATCTACAAATCTATCATCATCTTAATT